AAGAACTTGTGAATAAATAACTTCATCCTGCCTAAAGTTCATGGCTATGCTATAAACTACAAAATAGTAACCTTATATATACTGAAAGACTATGAGCTTGGCATTGCTGTTTTGGGCATAAGAATCAAACTTCTGACAAAGACTCCATCCAGTATTAGCAAAAAAACCATCCAAAAATCAAAACTATAACATAAACAAGTAAAGAACACCAAAGTAAATCGTCAGGACTAACACTATTACCTCTAACATCATCTGAATTTCAGCTCCCTGTTATTTTTAGTGGATAACCATTTTGTGTCCAGTCAACCAATCTCTGGCTGCTCTGAGCCTTTCAAAGCATTAATCTAAATTTTGGCTGAGGTGCTGTTGTATGGACTTGGTCACTTGGAAGATGTGTTACCTTCTCAGAGCAGGCAGGCCAACAAAAAACAGATGGTAGTAACTTTGTCACATTAATTTGTGTTTGAGGGAGCTCAGTTGAGTCCAAGAGTGAAATATCTTTATCTGTTTGCTTTTAATTGTAAAAACAGAATTTGGTTGCCAGTGAGCCCTACTGTTTTTCAGGTGGGATGAAATAAAAAAGACTGAATTGCACAATTCTAACTGTCCAAACCCAATTTTATGTTAAGGGGAGGTTTTTTTGTGAGAATACATTAAAAAAATTAATATAAGTACTGGATATGAAGTATTCTCCTTTACAACTAAGCTATTGGAAAGGGAACTTCTCTGCTTTGCTATTGAACAAAGTAACAACAGAGTCAAGCATGGAGTTCAAACTCACTACCTGTAAATGTTGTTTGTACTTTTTTAAAGGGACAGTCTTTTACATCCAGCATTTCAAAAATCAGTAAATAGAGAATATAAAGTAATTACAAACAACACTTAGTAATCATCACTGTAGCACTGCCTCACAACTCCAAAACAAGTTGTGATACACTCAAGCTAGCATCCAAATAATTAGTTTATACAAAAAAATGTGTACTTTTTGATTTTTTTGATCTTATACTTTCTGATCTTAAGTCAGGTATGACAATGACATCCTTTTTTTCCTAGTTTCCTTTGAAGTACGCCTATACAAGAGACAGAGAAGAGAAAGTAATTCAAAATATGCATTTTTCATGTGGTTAGGTCTAATTATGGATTCCATAAGTGACTCGAATCTGCTCTATCATAAATGTTTGAAGGTCTGACTCCCCAGACGTTACTAATGAGAGGATCTAAGGGAAGAAGAATTCCACTGAGAGCTGTTGGACAGAAGTAAAACTGGCTCCCTTGAACAGCACAGGAAATGTTATCCATCCTACAATTAAGCACTATCCGTAATAAAAAAAGCAATCCTACCTGATCTGCTCCGTTTGCACGATACCTTCCTTATGTCCTTCCAGCCGAGCTGCCAAGCGCTCCTTGTCGAGGCGCACGCACTCCTCATCCTGGAAGGAACAGCACTGTTTAACTGGACTGTTTCAGCTTGGGTGCATTCTCTCTTAAAAAATAACTACAACTAGAATTAAAGCTGTTCAGCACTATTTTCTGTACATTTGCAAGGACAATCTTTATTTCCCTTTTTTTTTTGATCGGTGCACTAGCATTAACAGTAGAGCTATGGGAAATTTCCTCTCAAGAACCACTAAGTATAAATAAGAAAATGAAAAGGAAACTACCCTTCCCTTGTGAAGAGCCTTGCTTAAACAACAACTGAGAACAACAGAAAAATCACTCAGAGAATTTAAAGCTGGCAAACAATGTTCATATTCAGGTAGGACAATACAAATCCACACATATACATATTTAAGGTAAATTTATCAGACATTCAAGTTTGTCCAGATATTTAATCAGTGACATTTTTAAAGACAAGAACTGCTCGGAATTGTTGTATCTTGATGCAGAACTTTTAGAAATGGCATTCCTAGTAAAGATAAAAAACAAGTCAAGAGTAAGGAATCCTCTAAGTTACTCAAGCCAGGTTTGAGACAGATATGTAATTTGAGAAAGCAGCAGAGAGATGTAATTTTATTCCATCTTTTCAGCTTCTTAATGTCAATAGTACTTGTGTTCAACCTGTCTCATTTCCCCACAAAACTAAAATCAGCATCAAGCCCGTCCTATTGCTAAAAGGCTGTTTGGAAAGGCTGAAGCACAGCAAAACCCCATGCCCATACATGAGGAGAGACTTAGAATCTCTACACTGAGATGATCTCCCAATAATTTAAAACAGACTTCACAGACACCAAGCTGCCAGAACAGCAAGGAAACAAAGAGAAGATGGCTGTAACCTGACACTTATATGCAGAACTCTTGATTATCCAAATTATGGTGGTGGAGACAATACAGTTTCAAAACATACTGCCATCATAACCACACAGGGTAACACAGAATAAAATCTATGGATCATCAACAGGTCATCTCACAGCAATCATCTGCTCATGTGCCATTAACAATGCATTAAGTTTTTATGACACCTATGCAGTTTTAGGTAAGCACAAGCAATGTTCAAATCCAATTCCTGAATAAGCAAATTTATGTATTTTGATAACTCTTCTTTTAAGAAGAATCATAAAGCCTCAGTACTCTGAAAACATATACAGATTTGTAACTCAGAGGAGACAACTGGATAGACATACTTTTCAAATAAATTATCAAGAAAAACTAACTAATTTTTTAAAACCAGGCAGAGTTAAGTAATGCAACGTGTGTAATAGACACATTGCTTCTATTAGAGAGGTACTTGTGAAAATACACTGTTTAATTAATTAATTATCTAAGACATAGCTTCATAAAACAGTAATCACAGGAACAGTTTCATATACTGCGACCAAAGGGACTAAGCCAGCAGGTAAAACAAAGTCTCCATTGACAGATATAGGACAGGCATTTAAGTCATAATGCCAACTCATGGATGGCAAATAACTGGAGCAAGTCATTACAGAGCACTTTTATTCCAGTCCCATCTTAGCAGACACGTTACAGTGCAAAGGGTATTTAAGAGATGTGTGGTCAAGCTTTCCCTTTTCATACTACAACATACATCCAGCAACCAAAATTCCACATTTAAATAGGAGGCTTTAATTCCAACTCCTTCCAGTTCACATTCACACTAAAAGAAGTATTGTGTGCACCCAGAGGACAGAGAAGTCAGAGGAATTTCTACAAAAACAAATAAATACTGTAATATACCACTACCCCCAGTTTGTATTGATGACAGTTACTGTCATTACCTCTATTCTTGGTTTCTTTGCTTCTGCTAATATTTCATCTGCTGCTCTTTTAACTACAAGAAAAAGAAAACATTAAAAATGCAAGACTGTAGTAGACTTCTATAAAATAAAAAAGTTATTTTTTAATTAAATTGTACCTTGAGTGGACCGTTGAAGACCAATTTCAAGTGGAGCACTTCTGTCTATGCTTGATGAGGTTGCTGTAATCAAACAGAACATTTAGTTTAAACACAAAATATCAGCCATAATATTTGAGTCAAAAAGAAAGAGGGACAAAAGAAACTGCAACAATGGAAATTGTAACTAGATATCAGGTAGTAAAAGCGGTCAAACACTGGGACCAGTGGAGTGGAGATATTCACAACCTGTCTGAATATAAAGTTAGATCAGGTTGCTCAGGGTCATCTGGCCCTTCTTTGAAAAGGGGATTGAACCCACTGGCCTCCTGTGGTCCCTTCCAACATAAATTAGTCAGTGATTCTATGATCTCTGTATACCACATAAAAGAGAGTCACAGGGGTAATTAGAACCTGGAATCAAGATCTACCAGTTTGTCCAGTTTTTGGGAGTAAAGACAACTTGCTGGTCCCTTTAAAATATATATAAAAATTTGTTTTACTACCCATATTACAGAAATAATCTCATATTCCAGGATACTTAAAATTTTAAGACCACAAATAAAACAGAGCATCCTACAAAGGTGATACTTATCTTCTCAGAAAAACCCCCTTATTCTGACCATCGTTAACAAAAAACGTAAGATGATGAAATACTAGGTAAATCTGTCAGACTGACAAAGCAGTGATTTGATACGTTTTACTGAACTGAAGATTTTATCCCACACATTTCTTGCATTCAAGATCAATGGATTACTGAAAGCTTCCCACAGTCTAGAGACGGAAAAAACATACATGCTAAGCATTCTAACACATAACTGTTGAGGATGTTAATAATAATAATAAGGCAGCTCACTTCTAAACATGCATGTAGGAATGCAACTCTTATCTAAGCATCATAAAAGCAATTAATTTCAGACCAAAATTAAAACCCGCAAGAAATAATAACCTTGTTTGAGAAGTCTGAACATATTCAGTTAAGATGCAGACTGACCATTGTTGACCACTCTTCCCCTCCTACCCTTCACTTGTGCCATGAATATGAAGCAGTAAAGTGCACTATGTGTCCAAGGCAAAAGAACACATCACTCACATGTTTCCCCATTTAGGTATGCAAGCAAGTCTTTCCTATCAGGTCTTCTTACCACAGGAATGTTTTCAGTCTGAAAAGACAGCAGACATGACATTAAACTGTTCTTCCCTCCAAGTCTCTTGCTGAAGATTTTTCACTTTTATTGAAAAGTACCCATTCACACAAGGACAGGAACACGTGTCCTGCCACCCAAGAAAGCTTTACTAGCAAGCTTCAAAATGCAGCTACATCCTAGAGGATGTTCAGCTACACAAAATGAAACATGCTGTCTGCTATAAAACTGAAAGAGAGGACAGTCTTTTTTCCTCCTTCACTTCAAACTTGCAAATAAGATTAGCTTTTAACACACACACAATTCTCTGCCAGGAGTCTGTGTTGATACACAGAAATTAAGTATCTCAATTTTCTTGTTCCAAGTACCTAAAACATGCAGCACTGCTGTGTCAGGTAACCATGTAGCACCTGGGAAGATGAAGTGTGGGCTCATAGAAAGCAGTCAAATGGAAATCAAAAGGACTTTTTCCATTGAGAATTCCTCTATCTTTATTTGTAGAGCTTATCCAGTAATTTCTCTAATTAGATTGCATATTTCCAAGTCCACTCCAAAGCTATTCTGCTGTATTTTAGTCTGTTCTGTTGATCTTTGCCCTCTCAGGCACTAAAGGATCATCTAGATTGGAATTGCACAACGGAACAGATGGACAAAAGTACTCTTTTGAAATAGTGCTGGAAACAAGTGTGTCCATAGAATATCAAGAGAAACACTACATTACTGTTAATATTTGGGTGACACACTCTTGTTGTAAATGCAAGCTGGTGGTTTGAAGGGATAATCTGCTAGGAAGCAAACTGCCAAGAAAAATGCTCCACCTTGGCAGGGACCGTCACGGGATCCTTACATCGAGGTGCTGGTTTTTAAACTCTCATGTGCACTCGCACACTTTGGTGCGTATCTTTCTCCCCTTCCCCAGCCAAATTCATCCATCTCAGTGCTACTGTCATCCCCCCAAAATATCTACACACGGTATTACTTATGACAAGAAAAAAATCCAACGTTGTATGAGGTACTTACCGCGGCACGACGGACATACACAGGATGGGAAAGGTGCACATTATTGAGCAGGAACAAGATAGAATCCAAAGTGTAGTATTCCCTGGGCTGGCCCTCTTTCCCTGTCCTGTAAAACAGTGAAACAAAAATAGTAACATTTAAACTCTCCATCTCTGTTTCAAGCACACCCTTTTTTAGAAAAGATCTCTTTTCTTTCCAGATGACAGGTGAAAGAGCAAATAGTAATATTAATATCAGGCTACTGACAAACTGGTTAACTATCAATTGTATTAAAAAATACAGGTGAAGGATATGGGTTCCTGCAGTCTCTTTAATGAACAAATTATATAACCTATCAAAAATAAGCCAAACTAAGAGCTGGATGGGTTGTAAAACAAACAAGCGAGATCTGTGAAACCATGAGTACATATTCACATTTCACACATATTTATTCTGATTATCGAAGCAACTGCCTTGCCTTATTTGGGACAGCCAGAGAAACATAACTGAACTGTGAGTGGAAAAAAAAAATTACATGCTCTTCAGGTATAACAGGATAGAATTTTCACCCCTAGAGAAAGCACAGTGAAGAACTCAGAATATATAAATTCTATGGAGTCTAGAGAGCAAAGGGTTCAAAATAGTGCTAAAAGGTCAAAATAAGGAGCAACTAGAAACTACCTGCACACAAAACTAGCAAAACCACAACGAACTACAAAATTACAATGAGCTCCCATACTAAAGTCAGACCACATCAGAGCAACACAACAGCATCAAGTTCAATCTCAGCTTTCAAACAGCTTGTTTCAAAGAGACACCTTTTAAGTCTAAAAGGGAACTTGTTCTATGCAACGATTAGCAAAAAACCCTCCCCGTCAAACAATAAAACTCTCAGTTTCAGCTGGGCTCCAAGTACATTGAACATAATTCCCTCCTCACACACGTTCACTCATTTCGCTGTTAGGATAAGATTTTGTAGGGGAAGCAATGCCTGTCCAAGTTTCAAAACAAAACCTACTCCCTAAATACTCCAGCTGCTCTGAGAAACGGAGCTGGCACTCAGCTTCACCAGGAAAGCAGCAGGAGCAGCGATCCCACTGCCCACCTGGGACCTGCCAGACCCTGGCTCCTCCACATTGCCCAGTCCCCTTCCCCAACCAGCTGGCTCACCTTAAAGCCTGAGGAAGACAAGCCAAAGCTATAAAATTTAAGACTGGTACCGATTTTTCATGAAACGAGATATTTCATGAAGAAACCCTTCCATTAAAACCCTAAGAAGGAGCTTTCCCTCTAAGTACAGCGGCTTTACTCGTGGCTCACCATCAGCACTGAAATACAACATGCACCACAGAAGTGCCAACCTCTCTGGGGGAAGGGAGAGGAAATAAAAAATACTCAGCCACAACATTATTGAACCTGAAAGAGCTACACAAACACCTATTAAAGCAAGGGAAGTGTAGGTCTGTTTTCTCAATACTGTAGATTTAATGCCACTACTGCTTTGCTTGCAATCACTTTTCTGAAATTTTTCAGACAGAAGTGTCCAGTAACCTGTTCAGAACCCATTACTAGCAGTGAGGTTCAAAACATCCCCTTCCTAATGATGCCTGAGAAAACCAGTATATGAATATCACACAGAGAAAAGGGATCCAAAATACCAGTAGAACTGTAGAATAAAGGATCTTTCTACCACTGTTTCTTCCTTCCAAAAACTTGGCCTGTGTGTGTGGGGGGGGAGGGTTGTGTGTATATTTTGCTGTTGGAGAGGAAAGGGAAGAGACAAAGTATCTTTAAACTGCTAAGAAGCCAAAACTTGGCTCCACAACTACAGTCAACAAAACTGGACTCCTCAGCAAGGAATTGTTTGAGTAAAGAGCAGAACAGTAACAATCCCTGATAAGGTGGTATCTAAACATATTCGGAGCACTGGCAGAAACAAAGGCTTCCTCCACATAGGCTTGGCTCTGAAGTGAAGCCATGGTGGCCCGTGATGCAGCCGTCACTTCATTTTCAAACAAACACTTCAGGTTATCCTAGGTTGGAATAATTCATTATTTCTTTGGAATGTGCCATATGCACTGAGCATTATATAGAAGTCCAGTTGGTCATCTATTCAAGTTTTAACAATATTTAGCAGTAAATGGCATAATTTAAAAACAAACAAACAAAATACTGAACCCTTACCTATTAATTTGAAAATACAGTATTACAAAGCCATGGGCATTGCCAAAGCTCAGCAGGGCACAGCTGGTACTTCATCACTTCAACCCCACACATAAGAGATCCCCATGCTCTAAGAGGATGTTTTATTAGGGGAACAAGAGATTGCATGTTAAAGGGAAATCATCAGATGGAAAAGCAGGTGCGTATGAGGAGAAAATCTAACTCCAAACTCACATTTCAGCATCAGTGTGTCCTCCTGCTCAATAAACAGAGAACTAAAAGCAAGTAGATCTGAGGGTAGCTTACCTCATTAAATTTACAAACATCCAAAGTAAAAACAGAAATTAGTTCTCTTATTTCCCATATTTAGTTATGGCATCAATTAGTTAAGGGTCATGGTTTGAGAACTCCAAAATCCAATTCCCTAGTCCAAGCTCCCTCCCACATCTTAAGAGGCAAACTTCAACAAGCCCAGTAATAAGCATTAAAGCAAAATAAGGAGTTGCATCTCTTACAAAATAAAACTCCACCTTAAAAATGGAGAAAACGTTTATATAATACAAGAGAAGAAGTTTCATCTACTTGTTTTCAACACCAGAAATTTATTTCCTGCTCATCCATTCCCCTTCAACCTGGGGGCACCCAGGAATTTATTAATTTTTAAGAGATTTATTTCGTCTTCCCTGTTTCAAAGCCTGCATTTTTACAGAGGTAGTAAAGCCCTGTGTCTCATCCACAAAAGCAAGCAGAAATCTTTAAGAACACAAGACGAGGCACATCGAGTATCACACAAATGACAATATCCAGGGCCAGCTGCTCCCTGTTTAAACTCCTCAGCTGCACATACAGCCCTCGGCTGGGCAAACAAAGCAATACCTTTCTCTGTTAGATTAATTCCTTCCTTTGGTTTTGAAACAGATTTTATAATTACTCTTCAGGAGCCATAGATCAAAACACACAAAACACTTAATCTCAGGCCACGTAGCCTTCCTCACGTGCCAGGAGGAAAATTCATATAAACATTACCTGGAAACTAACCTGGATTAAAGTTAGTTTTTGTGCCCTCCCCCCCTCCCTTTTTTTTCCCTTCAGGTTACTTCTAACTTGGCTCAGTTCTCAGACCAATTCTCTGTTTGGCTGACTTTTGTGTAGCACAGAGAGAAGGCAGTGCAGGGCAGCACTGCTGACTTTGTCAGCTGAGCTGCTCGAGGAGCCAGAGCTAAATGTCTCATGGGACTACTTCTAATTCTAGCAGGGACAAATGCCACTGCTGCTGCTTGGACTGGCATTACTCTCTCCAGGCTGGAGATGCAATTACAGCAACCGTGCTGTGGACACCTAAACAGAAATCAAGGTTTGCTCTGTAAAAGACTAAGCCACCAATTGCTCAGTGTAAGCAGACTGTGAATCCTGTCAGGTGACCTGAATATAAAGGGGTTTGAATCTTAAAAGTTTTTTAAAATGCTCCTCATAAATTTGGCAATTACATAAATTACCAGCTCCTAAACTGTGGTGTCAAAGCTACTGAGCATGGCTTGCAGAACTGGTCTCAGTTTTACAGTGTCTTCCATTTGAAGATGCAATATACAAAATGCCACAGTGGTTCCCATGAAACATTGTGAGCTGACAGCAGTGTGATCCTATCACAAGTTCAGAAGCCACTGGTCTAAAACAAGATTTACTAACTTACCTCAAACAAATAAAAACCCTCCAAATTCTACCACGTCTACCACAGGAGGTGAATACACAGACAGCTATGAGGAGGTCACTGCTGCTGTTCTGCTCAGAGGATCATCTAATCACCCACAGTTCCTTCTTGACCATGAAGATAAAGCTGCTTGATTGTACATAACAAAGTTTTCCTCTCCAGCTACTGTCTTTTTGGCTTTTGGTAACAATGCCTGGGTCTAATTCCAGCTCTCCTGAGCAGGAGTACAGTTGGACTGGTGTATCAGTTTCTTGTTCCCTAGACAAGAGCAATGAATCTTGCTTGTCTAGTTAACCAGTGCTTGTTAATGCTTGGGAAAAGCAACTTGTGGCAAGGACACCACCATGACTGTCTACACATTGCTCAGCAAAAATACAGCTAAGACCTTTAATTGCTATCTCAATGTTTTTCTTCCTCTTCGGTCTAGCTACCAGTATCCCCTATCGAGCCAGGAAACACAAATAACTCCAAAATTAGTTTCTGAAAACCTGAAATGTGCTTGAAATAGCACATTCCTAGTTATAAACAGAACACAAAGCTAAAAAAAGTTCATCTGCAAGTTAAGATAAACAAACAGGTTTATTTCCTTTCTCTCTCCCAAATTACGAGTCGGGATGCTAATATTCATATCAAAATTACGAAAACAAAACAAAAAAATAATTCCCAGTCAGACGGAATGACAAGTTCAGGGGTTTTTTTTAGAAATCTGCAGGTTCTTCTACTTTTCCACAAAGCTTCACAGGATAACATACCTGATACACTTGCTACCTAACCCTTAACAATGAGCATTTTCTTTCTCCTGGGTTTGAAAGAGATTCATTGGAATCCTTCTAGCGAGGACTAGAAAAGCAAGCAGCTGCTAAATTATGAGTAAAGGCTAATGAAGACCTTCCTTGCAATGTGAGCAATCCATACCATACCAGGAAATTCAACAGGTACAAACCCCTGTTTTCTGGAAGTTTCAGAAAAATAAGTATTTTATCTGGTACAATCACTTAAGCCACGTAAACACTATCTCTACTAGTTTATTATAACAAGACCAATTAGGAAAAGCCTGCACCGGGTCCTGCCCAGGAAGAG